GTTGTGATGATACTGGAGCGGTGGGTTGCGCTGGTGGCCAGTCAAGCGCTAAACCCAGTCCTACCGCCCTCTGTGCACCACCCTCAAAGATGTCGCCCCTGCAGCCTGCTGCGACGGCAACGGCAGCTCCTGCAGCAAACGGTGCTGCCACTACACGGGCCTTCTTCGTAGACGGTAATAACTTGTCGGAGACACTTGCTCTCCTTCAAAGCATGAACCCACAGGCTACTGTTACTCAACAACAGTTCCTACTGATTCCCAGTTCCGACAGGTCTTTCATGTACCTCTGGCGCACTCCTGTCTCTGGCAGCCTTAAATCTCTCCAACAACCCGTACAGCAACAGCAGCTACATCAACAGGTGCAACAAACCCAAATGAAAGTGGAGTCCATTGAGCTGCCCTCGAGCGCTGCCTCGCACGGTGTCGTCAGCACATCGACCAGTGTCGTACCTGAGGTGGCGCCTGCCAAAGTCGACTCTTCTGGCAGGCCAACAGTCGTCAGCTACCCTTCGCTCATGCAAACCAAGCACCAACAGCCGCCTGTGGACATGGTGGATGGGCGACGCTCTTCCCTCACACTGCCTCTAATCTTACCTGCAACCCAACCGCCGACACCCCTCTCTTCCTCATCTCGTGGTCTTGTTTCTGACCTTCCAATTTCGTCACAACCACAACTGAAACCTTCGGTTACTACTGCTGCTGCTTCTATTGTCTCCCACGCTCCACTGGAACCGTCATCTGGATACCGAGAAATCTTACCTTCCCCAGTTGAGGGAAAGACTCTCATTGCAAACGCACGACCGCCTCCTGGCGCCGCTTCTTCCTCAACAGGACTGGTCATGCAGTCCTCAGCCTCCCGACTTCCTCAACTTGCACCAAATGATCAACGTCGGATCAGCGTCTTCTACCAACAACAACAACAACAACAACAGCAGCAACAGCACCATGTCGATGTCATTCCTAGTCCGCAGTCGAGGCAACCACCACAGCCTCAACAGCATCCTTCGACGCCTGCTGTTGGTACCACGACTGCCACCTTCATTCTGAACACTTCAGGCGGTACGCCCGTCTCTCTTGTGGAACGAAACATTGTCATCTCATCAAACCATCTACGCAGTCTGCCGGCTGGTGTAACGGCCTTTCCTGTTAGCTTCCAGCCCGCTGTTTCAGTACCTCCACCACCACCACCGCCGCCGCCACAACCACATGAACAACAGCCGACCGCGATCACCTCCCCAACTCGTCTTGTTGCGCAACCACTGCAGCCGAAAGAGAATCTGCATTGAGTACTGTCTGTCGTTAGGCCTCCCCCCATCTCTCTCTCTCTCTCTGTCTGACTTCTAACTCTTTTGAGAACACTGCTGCTACCGTTACCAGGTTATGCGCGTTTGCACTATTGTTGCAACTCCCACGAAGA